TTTTTTTTTTTTTTTTTTTTTTTTTTTTTTTTTTTTTTTTTTTTGAGTCTCTCTGTCGCCCAGGCTGGAGTGCAGTGGCACAGTCTTGGAGCTGGAGCCTGCAGTGAGCTATGATCACGCCACTGCACTCCAGCCTGGGCAACAAAGTGAGACTCTGTTTCAAAACATTTTTTTAAAAAAGTAATGGAAGTTTTATTGAGATTGCATTGAATTTATACATTTTGGGAGAAATAACATCTTACTAATATTAACTGTGGAGGTTTTGAGATATGCCCACACTCTGATACTGCACTCATCAAGAGTTGGAGCCTAAGTCCCTTCCATTTGCACATGTGCTGGATTTAGTGACTCAATTGCAAAGCACAGAATGAGGCATTAAGTGATAGTGTGCCATTTCCAAGACCAGGTTGTAAAAGGCATGTCTGCTTCCTGCTCTCTTCATGCAGATTGCTCACTTTATGGGACATTAGCTGGTATGTCATGAGCAGCCCTATGGAGGGATCCAGGTGGCAAGAATCTAAGGCCTCTTGCCAACAGCCATGTGAGCAAGCCTTTTTTTTTTTTTTTTTTTTTTTTTTCCAAAGACGGGGTTTCACCATATTGGTCAGGTTGGTCTCAAACTCCTGACCTCAGGTGATCCGACTGCGTCAGCCTCCCAAAGTAATCCAAAGGGATTACAGGCGTGAGCCACCACACCCAGCTGAACAAGCCTTCTTTAAAGGTGAATCAAAGCCTTCAGATAACTGCAATCCTGGCCAACATCCTGACTGCAGCCTCATGAGAGGCTCTGAGTCAGAACCACCCAGTTAAGCCACTTTCAGAATCCTGACTCTCCAAAACTGTGTGAGATAATAAATATTCATTGTTTTAAGCCATTAAGTTTTGGGATAATTTGCTACAAATAACATATATTACCAAAATCTTTTCAGCAAAGAGCATAAAATGTCTTATTATTCAGATAATCGATTTCTATTGTTAGAGTTTAAATTCTTTTTTTTTTTTAAGATGGAGTTTCACTCGTCGCCTAGGCTGGAGTGCAATGGTGTGATCTAGGCTCACCGCTACCTCCACCTCCTGGGATCAAGCAATTCTCCTGTCTCAGCCTCCTGAGTATCTGGGATTACAGGCACATGCCACCACAACTGGCTAATCTTTGTATTTTTAGTAGAGACAGGGTTTCATCATATTGGTCAGGCTGGTCTCGAACTCCTGACCTCAGGTGATCCACCCGCCTTAGCCTCCCAGAGTGCTGGCATTACAGGCGTGAGCCACCACACCCAGCCAGAAGTTTTTATTAAATTCATTCTTACTTTATTTTTTTGTTGGTTATTACAGACATGCTTTTGATTCTTACAGGTTGATTTTGTATTGGGAAAACTTGCTGAACTCTCTTATTAGTCCTACTAGTTGTTTTGGTCATTCTGTTGGTTCTTTAAGGTAGTCACTCAAATCATTTGCAAATGAGTTCTACCAATTCCTTCTACAATGTACACCTCACTTCTTTTTACTTATAGCATTAGCTGGTTTTATATTAAAGAATATTATTGAGTGAACATCCTTGCCTTGTTCCTGATATTAAAGGGAAATGCATTTAAAAATTCTCTATTAAGCATTTTTGCTGTAAGATTTTGCCATGTAGCCTTTATGAAGTTAAAGAAGTTCTCTTCTACTTTTTATTTTGTTTGCAAATAGTTTTTTTTTTTTTTTTGTAGAGATAGGGTTATGCCATGTTGCCCAGCCTGGTCTAAAACTCCTGGGCTCAAGTGGTCTACCTGCCTCAGCATCCCAAAGCATGGGGACTGCAGGCATGAGCCACCATGCCCAGCCCCCTTTTAAATATCATAAACAGGCACTGAACTTTATCAAATCCTTTTCTGTTTTAAGATCATATAATTTTCTCCTTTATTAATGTGGTTAATTGCATTCGTTAATTTTCTAATTTGGATCAATTGCATTACTGGGATAAAACCTACTTGTGATTTTTTTAAAAAATGCACTATTGAATTCAGGTAGCCAATATTTTATTAGAATTTTTGCATCTAAATTCATAAGTTCAGTGGGTCTATAACTTTATTGTTTAGTATTTTCCAGATCTGGTTTTAGAAGCAAGACTATTTTACCCTCATAAAAGGAACTGTACAACTTTTTCTCTTTTCCTATTTTCTGGAACAATTTGTATAAGATGGGAATTACAGTTCCTTAAAAGTTTGATAAAACTACAATCTGCAAAACCATCTGGGGCTGAGCCTGTTTGTTACAATAAGATGGGGTATCTTGATTATCTTTTTTTTTTTTTTTTTTTTGAGACAGAGTTTCACTCTTTTTACCCAGGCTGGAGTGCAATGGCGCAATCTCGGCTCACCGCAACCTCCGCCTCCTGGGTTCAGGCAATTCTCCTGCCTCAGCCTCCTGAGTAGCTGGGATTACAGGCACGCGCCACCATGCCCAGCTGATTTTTTGTATTTTTAGTAGAGACGGGGTTTCACCATGTTGACCAGGATGGTCTCGATCTCTTGACCTCGTGATCCACCCGCCTCGGCCTCCCAAAGTACTGGGATTACAGGCGTGAGCCACCGCGCCCGGCCTTGTTTTGTTTTTTGAGATGGAATCTCACTCTTGTTGCCTAGGCTGGAATGCAATGGCGCAATCTCGGCTCACCACAACCTCCACCTCCCAGGTTCAAGTGAGTCAGTCTCCTGCCTCAGCCTCCCAAGTAGCTGGGATTACAGGCATGCGCCACCACAACTGGCTAATTTTGTATTTTTAGTAGAGACAGGTTTCTCCATGTTGGTTAGGCTGGTCTTGAACTCCCGACCTCAGGTGATCCACCCACCTCATCCTCCCAAAGTGCTGGGATTACAGGTGTGAGCCACTGCACCCAGATTATCATTTTAATTTTTCCTAAAATGTAGTTATATTCTGGTTACATTCAAGCTTTCTATTTCTTTCTTTCTTTCTTTCTTTTTTTTTTTTTTTTTTTTTTT